TGGTGATGACAGCAATGGTGGTGATGATGGTGATGGTGATGACAGTGATGGTGATGACAGTGATGGTGATGACAGTGATGGTGGTGATGATGGTGATGTTGGTGGTGATGGTGATGACAGTGATGGTGATGACAGTGATGGTGGTGATGATGGTGATGTTGGTGGTGATGGTGATGACAGCGATGGTGGTGATGATGGTGATGTTGGTGATGACAGTGATTGTGATGTTGGTGGTGATGACAGTGATGGTGATGACAGTGATGGTAATGACAGTGATGGTGGTGGTGATGTTGGTGGTGATGACTATGATGGTCGTAACGGTGGTGGTGATGATGGTGGTGGTGGTGGTGGTGAAGTAATCGATGGAAGTGGTGGTGACGTCGATAGTGATGATGACACATTGATGGTGGTCATAGTGGGGTGATGTCGATGATGAGGTCTAGACAGACTAGATGTGATGGTGCTAATGATGGTACAATGGACAGGCCGAAATGGACCTTTAACCTTATAACTAAAATTTTGATCTAGACAAAAATTTCATCACAGCTTGAAAGAGCATCACAAAATTAGTAAGAGGGTAGTAATATTGCAAAGTTTCGTTACGAAATGTTGTAACATGCGGATAATATAGCCCTGCGAAGTTTGTGATTTTCAGTCATTTTAGCCCAAATTGCGCGGACTTGAAATCTAGTCCAGTCCTCATAGTTGTTGGATTTGAAATATTACTTCAAAGAAAGGTAATTGCGATTTAAATAATATAGTTGCATGGAAGAAATTACCTGCATATTTTTTCCCAATCTTGACAATGGTTTCCTTGCTAAACGTATAGGATTTCGTCTTCAACCAAAAATGAATAAGAGCTATGAACAATATGATAAGCAAACAAATTTTCAAGAAACGCATTGACATTTCCTTTCTTTCAAAGGATAATTTCAGCTGTTTTAATACTTCCCAATGTGATAAGCACAGACCAATTATTCCATTAGTCAGACCAGAGTCTCTGGTTACGGGCGGTACTATTGATCTATTGGATAAGTACGGTTTTCGGCTACATTTACTGATTTACACTGTACCAGCCCGTACCAGGGACACGATGCTTATCACATGAGAAATAAAGTCTAAAGAGCTGAAATTGTCCAGAAATCTTCCAAAATTTAAGTGTTGCATTTTTCGCAAGCGTTCCTTGTTAGGTCTTAAAATTGTGTGTATATAATTGTAGGTTCATTTGGATTTGCCGTAAGACAGCTGGATAATGCATCTATTGACTATTGTCAGTTGAAAAGTGAAACCGAATGCGAAGCGGATAAACTCGATTTAGCTCGAAGACAATTGCTGAAAACAATGTGTATTTCAGACGAAAGAGATTGCGATAGAAATGGAAAAATACTGTTGAGAAGTCCCTTTTTTGACACTGAACATGGAAAACTTGATAGGTAAAATCGTTAGCCGGCGCAATGCGACTTTTTGCAACTATTTGTACAGTAATGAAAAGAATCACTTTGATAACTACCAGTTGGCAACCATCTGCGCTGAACATATACCTAAAGCATTTTATGTATTAGACCGCGAGCACGCCCGGGGACCGCTCGCAGTCTACACACGTAAAAACGCACAAGTTGTAACAAACCTGCAGCAGACTTGTAGCAATGCTGTTCCAACAACTTGTCAACATGATGTGTTCGCACTGCTTGTTCCCAGCTTGTTGACAACTTGCTACAAGGTTGTTGAGTTCAACAGACTTGTTACAAGTTGTTCCAACAACTTGTTATCGTCCTCCAATTCAACAATTTGTCAACAAGTTGTGAGTGACAAGCTTGTAGCAACTTGGAAAAATAACAGCATTAATTGTTACCACTTGTTGACAAGCTTGCTACAAGCCTGTTGCGACACATCTTGTTGACAAGTTGTGAGATTTTTACGTGTGTAGGTATGTACTAGTCTGAATCAATCTCGTGGCTGAATCTAATATGGTGGGAATGTATTCTTAGTGAAAGTTTTTTAATATGAAATATACCTATTGTAGAATGTTAATGATATTTAATATTTTAATATAAACGTGTAGCATTGGTGGGATCACTAATGTAAATAAATATAAAGTAGAAACGCTCAGTATTAATTATCACTTATTTACTGAGACCGAGGGAAACACCACTCAGGACCCAGGTTTAATCCTTCGTCGGACCTCTACTCAAAGTCTTAAAATAATTGAGAAGAAAGATTGGAGAAAGAGCTACCTTTACATTGACATTTTGCCGGATATTTTCCAGCCCTGTGCAGAGAATACTAGCAATAAAATACAAAAACAGAACTGCTTGCTTTATTGTTCATATACTAGAAATAAAGGAACCTATCTCGCTTTTCAGTTCATAATAGTACGCAACACCAAAAGCGCGGAACATTTTAAATATTCCTATCACATCAAAAGAAGTGAATAGTCCATCTGAAATTATCGCTGGCATGCTCATAGGTAGGAACCCTCGTCCATATTCCAAGACCCATGTATTTGCCTTCCATCCTAGGCAGCCTGTTGATCCACTATGAAAGGTAAAACTATCACCAATTTTGTATTCAATGGCTTCTATATCGCCTTCTTTCCAGTATTTTACTGACCCTGATAGAAGTAACATTGTGCAGTTTAACCAGTGCCGACCTGAGAAGCAACAGAAAAGTTCACATGTTATTTCATAGACAGATTTTCTTTCTGGAGGTGTGCATGCACCCCCCCCAAAAATATTTTGCATCCCCTCGGAAAGTTTTCCCACCCCACCTAGAGAAATTTGCACACACACCCCTCCCCCAGAAATTTAAATGCTCATTAGATATTTGGAGGCAAATCAATTTGAAAGGTGTAGTTTACATTTAGTACAAGTTGCCCACAATCTGCTGGCCTGGCCGGAATGCTTACTGAAATGTACCAATCAAATATGAGAATTAATGCAATAAAACAACATTGGAATGGCATGTGTACCTAAATAGCCATCTGTATCCAGTGCAGATCCAAAAAGTAGTACATATTCTGTCAGGGATGCATGTAGTATGGTCATGGATAAGGTCATTCCTGAATATTTGTACATCACCCATTCACGGTGCTTGGTTGGTAAGATGTGGCCAGGGTAATGTTCTTGCAGTTCACTGGCTATTTTCTGAAATGCTTGCTGTATCTCTCTACCTGAATTGGAATAAGAATAGTGATGATGGTGATGTTGGTGGTGAACATGGCGATCAATGTTGATGGTGATGACAGTGATGGTGATGACAGTGATAGTGGTCATAGTGGTGATGTCAATGGTGATGATGACAGTGATGATGATGGTGGTGAATGATGGTGGTGATGGTGTCCCTAATGAAGTGATGGTCAGAGTGGTGATTGATGGAGGTAGTGGTGATAATCTATGTTGGTGATCAATGACAGTAATGGTGATGACAGTGATGATGTCAATGGTGGTGGCTTAATGTGGTGGTGCTAATGGATGGTACTGATAACTGATTGATCACATAGTGAGATACATTTCACTGCACTTTACATGGCGGATCTTGGAGCACGAGCGTAGCCGCTGGGGCATTAGGCCATTTGCAGAATTACTGCATGGAGCTGTTCGACTCAGATATCAGTGGTTCAACTGCCTTGATTCATTAATTTCATTTGAATTGTATGTAGACTTGTTTATAATACTCTTGTACAACTATGAATACGCTCCAGTCATTCTGAAAATAGTCTAAACTTTAATTCATAATTGCTACACCTGAACCAATTACCTGCATATTTTTCCCCAATTTTGACAACATCTTCCTTGCTAAACCTATATGATTTCGTCTTCAACCAAAAATGAATAACAACTAAAAACAATATGATAAGCAAGCAATTTTTCAAGAACCGCATTGACATTTTCTTTCTTTTAAATTTTCGAAGATTTCTGGGCAATTTCACCTCTTTAGTTCTCATAAGCACTCAAGTAGCAATTTTAAAAATTTATAAAGTAAGTTTCCTGATAGCCTGCGTATAGGTGGGCGCCTATATACATATTTGCAAGACCTCTGTTGCAAGACCTTACAAGTTTTGTATTTCTAAATTTATATGATTCTCCTGGTGTTTTCTATGCCTACTGTTATATTGAAGGACCAAAATTAATGTTCACAAGTGTTTTTTTTTTTAAATAACGACGATATATTGATTTAAACTGCAAATTTTATCTGCAAAATCGGGCTGGAATCCTGAATGATAATGAAGATATAGCCCCGCCCGGGAAAACGTATGTTAAAGTAGTAATTCAGGGGGGTTCTGGATTATATTCGTTTAAATTTTACGCCGCGATGGTTTGACAAACACGTGTGAAAGAAATGGTTATATTTTGGTTTTCCTGAAAATTTATTTGGTAAGGTTAAGTTATTGTGTGTAAATATAGACTAGTGCTTAGTATTTTAGTTAGTAGAAAATAAAATACCCAATAGATTGGGGTGTAAATTGGCAAAACAAAATGAACTAGCTAGGCGCCGTTTAAAAATACAATCGATAATGAACAGATTGATTATATTGCATGATTACCTGCAATTATTCTGGAATATATTCAGAAGGTAGATAATACTAGATTATAAAGATATTACAGTAATATAATTTTTTAGAGACACTGACAGTGAAAGGTTTATGCATGTAGATTACAATCAGTCTCTTTAAGTCTTTATAGTCTTAAGAATTAATGTATCGATCAATTCGAAACTTCACCATCACCCCCCCCGGGCATACCCCGGGAATTTGACTTCAAGTCTTCTCCAGGGAGTAGGGAATTTGACGTTCTAGGTCTTCCATGTGGTGGGGCATTTGATATTAAATGGGGTGGGGAATTTGAACCGGAAGTCTTAAAATTTTGCCTGTTTTCGCGTGCTTCCTGCATGCACAGAAAATACTTCGCATTGGCGGCAAATACAGTTTTCTCAGATTTCGAGGGAAACGGCCTCAATTTTGGGAAAAACTGGCTCAAAGAAACGGGCATGGAAAATCTATGTGCTTCATTTGAAGATATGTACTACATAATTGTGTAAAACTGTTAAATTTCCACAAAGTATCCAAACTTTTTATGTGAATTTCGCTATCTTGTCGAAAAACATTTCCGTATATTTTGTACTTTTCGTGTTTACTGTTTCATAATTTTCATATGAAGGTGGGGCATTTGAACGCTTAATTTCTTGTTACAGTGGGACATTTGAAGACATTTTTTGCACAGGGGGTGGAGAATTTGATCAGTCAAATTTCAAAAAGTTCAAATTCCCGGGGTCGGCCCGGGGGGGGGGTGATGGTGAAGTTTCGAATTGATCGATACATAAAAACAATAAAATGGTTGAGCGTAGACGTATACTTCGATCTGTAATTGTAAACCGTATAGTTGTCTGTAATCACTGTATTTTATATCTACCCGTTGAAGGCTGCAGTCTGGCAACCGAAAGCTCGTGAATAAAAAATTTTCAACCAGAGAACGTCTCAAAAATCATTATAATAAAATGGTAGTTTATACGTTGGTATATCGAAATTATACAATGAAAGATAATAAAATTATTTTGTCAAGCTGACATGGCCACTGTGATGTATGTCACAGAATGGAGACCTTAGTTACATAAGGCCAACTTCTTGGTTTTGCCTTTGGTATAACCATTGCAATACTGTTGCCATGTCCGTAGCCAGTGCACTTACAAGAGGTGTTTACCCCCCTGAAAAATATTTAAAATGGTAGACATTCAGGGTGTGAATGCCTCTCATAAGCACACTGGCGAGAAATATGGTGTGTGCATTTTAATGACGAATCATGGCATGACAGCAGTTAAAAATGGCGATCCTTTCGTCTTTTAATACAATGTCACCTACCATGTTTAGAAATTATGAATTCCATGAAAAAAGAGGCAAATGCCGACCCAGATTATGAAAATATACAGCCTGAGGAAAGCGTCAGTGAAGTTAACGAAAGCTTGCAACGTGAAGATGCAAGAGACCAAGCCATCCACAAAATGCAAAACATCATTCACAAACAGTTCTCATTTGAAATCAACCTTAAGGAAAAAGAAGTCTCCACACTCAACCATAGAGTTCACGAATGTCGGGCAAGCTTGGACCGCCTCAGGGCTTGCGTTCTTGCAGGGTATTATGGGTACGGGACCTCACCTGCGCCTGTACAACAGACAGGTGTGAAAACAGCAAAAACTCGGACTAGTTTAAAAGAGACAAATTTGCACGATATTATGAATTGGAAGCGTTCGTTACCATCAAATTTGAAAGAGCAAGAGCCTGATCAGAATTTGTCTCGTCAAAACCAAACTAACGAAAATCTCACTGGGACAAATGCTAGCCAAAGTAAAATTAGCGAAGTTGATTTGCCAAATTTGTTTGGACCAGACAAAACTGATTCGTTAACTGGTAACGAGTCAAGATTTTACGTCAAGAGGAAAATAATCATTGGCAACACATCCAAGTTTATTTTACCTGAACAACGGGAGAGGAATGATAGGTCTACGCACAAATGGATGGTCTATGTCCGTGGACCCAAAGATGACGGTGAACTACAAAATTTTATAAGTAAAGTATGGTTTCTGCTGCACCCAAGTTATAAACCTAACGACCTTGTCGAAGTTTGCAAGCCACCGTTTCAGGTAACAAGACGCGGTTGGGGTGAGTTTCCCGTCTGGGTGCAACTCCATTTTCTCGAGAACAAGAACAAACGAGTTGACATTATCCATCATTTGAAGCTGGATAAGACCTCTACGGGTTTGCAAACGCTTGGGGCTGAAACGCATGTTGAAATTGAGCTGGATCGTAAGAATTTTGATGGTTTAAGCTCATGTCAACCTCATGATTCAAGCAGGAGGAATGTGGCCGCTAGTGCTAAAGATCTTGTCTCGAATCCTTGTTCAGAAAGGGAGAATATGGCACCGGTTAGTTCTCAGAGTTTCGATCTGGCTTTGGGACACCATGGGATGGCGATGGATTGTGATGGCTCGACAGTAGATCAGAAAGGATCAAAGTGGGATAAATATGGATCAGAACATGGCATACTTAATGATCATTCTTATAGCACTGTTGCTACCGAGAAGCCATCTCATCAGGATGACATGAAATATCCCACACCACCTACCGCCATGCTTGGCACAAGGTGTTCATCACCAAAGAGGGATGCTACTCTCCCAGAATCATTTTCTGTTGAATCTGATTTTGAGCAGGAATTGTCGCTGCAGAAATGTGTTAAGTTGTTCCCTGTTGTAAGGGCTGAGAAATGTTCCAATAAACCCGGCTATTGTGCAAGCAGCTTAGAGCAGTTTCTTGGTTGGAATCTCGGGAAGCGTTTGGCAGGAGAATGGCAGCGAGCTTTGGCCATGAAGGCACACATTAAGAATGAGAGGGCTCTGAAATCACGTATTGAGAAAGAGTACAAAGCATTGGCAGTGAAGGCAAATATCAAGAAAGAGAGCCATCCTTTGTCAATGCATTTCCACAAAGAAAGTTTGTTGCTATCAACCAAAGACGTGATGAACTACTGCCGTATGCATGGGTACACTCCAATGTTGAAGAGCTCTACAGAAGGAAGCATTTTGTGCAAATTTTGTGGAGAAGAAATGAATGAAACCGATGTTGATGAAAATGACCAACCCCTGCTAGCTCACGAGGAATGTGTTTCAGAATTTGAGGAGGACGATGTTTCGGGAACTTACATCACTGCTGAAGAATTCTTAGAAACTTTGAGCAAATCAGAATGCATTTCTAGGAAACATGATAAAAGCCCGGATGATAATGGAGTTGTAGATGTGGTGGGGGTAACCGATAAAGGGTTAACCAAAGATCCATCAAAGCCAAGGTTATTCTTCCTTCCGGTTACAGCAGAGCACGAATGGGTTAAAGAGATTGCAAGTGAAGTTGATGTCACATTAACAAACTGTGACATTGATGGTGTCCATGCTCCTGTCACCTGCGCAATGCTGTATAAAGCGTGCACAATGTTTGTTGAGGACATAGTCCGGAAAGCTAACAGGTTTACATGGAAGTCGACATCAAGAATTTCAAAGGCAAAATGTATTTTGCCATATCATGTGAAGCAAGCACTTGAAGTTATACCTCATTGTGATTTTCTGACAAACAAGTATCTTAAAGTCGAGATTGACACTACTGAAGACTGAGTTAATGTACACTACTGAAGATTGAGTTAGAACAATAGATCGACAACATGGGCTGCTTTTATGGAAGCAAGATGAAATTTTGTGAGACATATTAACACACATATATAAACTCCTAAAAGTATAATTACAGCCAAGCAGTTTTGGTACATAGTTATAACAATATAAACGTTAGTAATTACAGAAATAAATTATGCTATCAAGTTACAATTATTTTGTACAGTTCTGAATGCATTGATAATGATAATGAATTACATTTATATAGCGCATTTTTCATATGGATACGTTCAAGTGCGCTTCTTACAACAGTAGATAATATCTCTCCTCCGCAGAGGCTTTAGTTGGTTACGATTAGTATTGAGATGGACACGTGCGCTCCTTCGCTCAGCGGCTCTGCTCGTGTTCCGAGATCCGCCATGTAAAGTGTAGTGAAATGTATCTCAATACTAATCGTAATCATGGCCAACAGAAGCCTCTGCCGAGGAGAGAGAGATAATATACAAATTATAAATGTTAGATAGATTGTACTTCGCTACAAATGTAGCCATTGGGCGTGGTTCATACATTATGACTGAGTAGACTGACCGTATTAAAAATGGGTTTCACTAAGCACTGTTGTGCAGCAGATAGTGGCAGGGCAGTACGCAGAGGGGTGGGGGGTGGCAGCAGGGGCAACCGCCCCCTAAAGAAAATTTAATTGATTTTATAATGCTATTATAAATTATTAAGCCAAATGGTGCTTATAATCTTGTGAATCAGAATGTATGATTCTGTATGGGACAGCCATAACATGTATCTAACTGACATTTGAGTATTACTGCCCCCTGGTGAAAAAATCCTGCGTACGACCCTGGATGGTGGTCAAACCATGCAAACTGCAAAGATCGATTGCGAGATGTAATTTATTTTTCTTCTGTAAGTGTGTTAAGATTTCTGAACTTGACGACCATCTACCGCCCCTGTAATACCAATCTTCTATTACAATGTTCATTTAGTATATCATTGCTAAGCTTCCACGGTTCGGCGTCTGTCTCGCTGCAAGATTGAAGGAATCTCGCATACTTTTAATATCTTGTTGGGACATATTATTGCTCATTAGCCACAGGTTTGTAATTTTACAATTCTTGTTTTTCAGCGCATCACAAAGATGTTCCACGCCCATTTTGCCAATTTCGTTACAAGACAGATCTAGCACAGTAAGTTTACAGTTTTCATTCTTTAAAGCATCGCATATGAACTTTACGCCGCTATCTTTGATTTTATTATTACCAAGAGATAAGTTTACTAGTTTACAGATATTCTCTTCTATGAGACCATGGTATAGACATTCAACCCCTAGGTCCGTTAGTTCATTACCAGAGACGTCCAATTTGGTAAGCGTGCAGTTTTTACTCATCAGAACGTCCCGTAATGGTTCAACATCATGAGCTTTCAAGCTATTTCGTTGAAGGCCGAGACTAGTCAGTCGACATTTCCCTACGTGTAATACCTCACATAGGCTCTTGACTCCATCGTAGTTTATGTTATTACCACTGAGGCACAAATCAAGAAGTTTACAATTCTGATTTTGCAATGCATCGCAGAGTACAGCAACTCCTTCATTACCTATCAGACTTCCGCACAAATTTAGTTTAGTGATGTTGCAATTATCGTGCGATAATGCCGTGCACAAGGCTTTGGCACCTTCAACCAATATTTTATTACTTCTAAGATTTAAATCGGTAAGGTTTAATTTTTTATCTGTAATTGCCTCGCATAGACTTGCCACTCCCTTCGCGGTTATATGGTTAATCTCGAGAATCAAATGAGTTAATCTACGATTCTTCGTGTCAAGGTTATCACATATGATTTTCATTCCTTTATCGCTTACATTAACTCGAGTTAAATTTAAAATGGTGAGGCCAACTTTATCGTTAAGTAGCTTTGCAAGGCCAAAGCAGCCGAGATCAGAAATTTGGTTGTTCGAGATGTTAAGTTTGGTTAAATTTTTAACGTAGATTAAAAATTGAAATAGTGCTATGCAATCAATTGACGCGATATTTAATCCATTTAAGTAACAAACACTGTTCCCTCTTCCATCCAGCTCGCTTGCGCATAATTTCACGATGTCGTCATCTTGCATTTCATGTAAGCATTTGATAACAAGTAGAGCAGCCCTTTTAGCATTCTTGTCTGCGTTCGAAGCGGTTAAGGGCCGAATCCATTGCAGGAAACTACATGAAGAAAGCAAAATTAATCATTTGTCAGAACATAGACAATAGAATAAGAAGGTTAGAAAACTCAATGCAGACATACAGTAAAAGACCTCTTTATCTATGTTTTTCTCTTGGTTTATGCAAGAAATGGTCGGTTCATCGTCACGTGTGTATTGTATTTTCGGCCAACCAACCAATAGCGGTGTGTTGCTTTAATTACTCAGTCGTGATATTACACAATGGTTAAATGAAAACATAGCTATTGGTCGCCTTAGCAAAAATACAATACACACGTGACGATGAACCGGCCATTTCTTGCATAAAAACCACGAAAAAACATAGTCAACACAGGTAATTAGCCATTCCGAAGTTGATGAGTGGGCTGAGGCGAGTGTTAAAAAGTGCTCAAATTAAGAAATGAACCAAATCACTAAAAGGACCACCTCAAAATTAGTAAGTATACAAAGTTTGAAGACGTTTACATGAATATCCTTCAATATCATAAATATAAGCTTTCGAAAATCGTGATTTTTACTTTGAAATGTATTGTAATTTTTTGTTTTTTTAATCCGCAGTAATTTCACAATTTTCGAAAGCTTATTATTTGAAGGGTATTCATGTAAACGTCTTCAAACTTTGTATATACTTACTAATTTTGAGGTGGTCTTTTTAGTGATTTGGTTCATTTCTTAATTTGGGCACTTTTAACACTCGCCCCCAGTCCTCTCATCAACTTCGGAATGGCTAATGAGATCTACTATGTCTGCATCGAGTTTCCTAAACTATGGTCAGAATTTATCTTCTTTTAGTGCATTATAAATATACTGGCACACTATCACAAATGTTGTTATCTTTTTGGATGTACCACCTTAAACGAGAAAGCTTCCAGATCCCAGAAACGCGAAATCTGATAAGATAGCTCGTTCGCAGAGTTTCTTTGAAGGAAGCTCTCTGATTCTAAGCATTCTAATCCTGAGCTCCAAAATTATTGTGGGTCAGTTCCGGATACTAACTCGAAAAACATACCTTCTACAGATGCTTTCCTTGGGCACATCAATGCTCTTCTTTCTCATTTTCTCTCCCAGCAAACCAGCAACAAATTGAACAACAAGATGCCAGTTAGGTTTCTCCAGGTAATCCTTAAGAGAACTCAGAAATAGTCTCACATCACAAATATCTTTCATTTCGTCAACAATATGACCAGCAGCAAGAAATTCTTGCATGGTCATATGGGAAAAAGTATAATACTCCTCTGGCAATCGGGCAAGCAAACCACAGCTTACAATCTGTTGGGAAATATCTTCAGCTTCTATTTGAAAGCTTGTTTCCCTGGATTCCAATTTAGACTTAGCTAACCTTTTTAAGGTTTTCATAAAATTTTCAGGTGACTGTGGTAAGTATTGAATTAAGTAGCTTCCTTTGCTAAATATACCCTTGAATTTTCCAAAGTATAACTGTTTCCAGATAATAACTCTTATAGCTCTCTGGTATAATTCAGTCAATGTTTTTGGGACGAATTTTGCGATGTCGTTCTCAGTCTTCGACTTGTCGAAGCATTCTTTTAAAGTTGAGCAAACGAGGTCACAGGTCGCAGGAATATAGCATAAACTCAAAAACTCAGGATTGTTTTCAATCGTCTTCCATATCTTATCACAGTTATCAGCCACGTCCGTTGTTTCCGATTGACAAAACGTCGTCACGTAATCTTCAATTGCACGTTCAGTGAAGCCCAGCAGCTCAAGCCGTGTATGGAACTGTATCTTAAAGACATTGCGAATCCTTTCTGCTGTGTCGTGTCGCGATGTTGTTATTATTGTAGCACCGGGTAGAAATTGATCTTTGAGCAGTTTTAGATAAATTGTGAAAATTGACATCGCCTCTTGGTAATCATTCATCATATCTTCATCTAACTCTTTCAAACAACTGTCATAATCATGTTCAATATCCTCCAAACCATCAAAAATTAAAACAGTTTTCTTGGGATTGGCTAAAATAAACTTATAAAGCTCTTCGAAATTCGAACCGGATGGTATTCCATTTCCTTGCCGTAACAGTTTTTTCAGAGTTGTTAGTTTATTTTTTCTAAAGCTTCGAAATGCGAGAAAGATTACAACTTTGTCTTCTAAGAATGCGCATTTAGCCCATCTGTATAAGATAGCTTTGGTGGCCGTGGTTTTGCCAATTCCTGCACGGCCTGTGATGAGAATTTTGTCACAAATTCGGAGAATCTTGGTGTTGACGTTGGTGGTGGTATTACTGGTATTACTAGCGTTGCGACCAATAACGATCTGAACATTATCTGTTGGAAACAAAGAAACCAAACGGTTCTTTACCGAAGCAGGATCTTGTTTCAAATACAGGCTATAAATCTCGTGCCTTTGTAGCCATTTGCTTTCAATTTCTTCGTGAACCAAAAAGCGGAAATCGCCCAGCCCGTTTCTATCAGTCGCTAAATAGACATAATGCATGTGTTCATTCTTCCTAATTGTCTTTCGAATTCGTTTTAAAATCTGTCGAATTGTCAAGTTTCGTTTTTCGAGGATATACATGCAGCAGAATTCAATATCACTTGCAAAATCAAAATCCTCGCGAAACCGGTATAAAAGATGAGCAATCTCTATAATGGCGAGGACACCTATGATGCAATCTGCACCCAAAACTGATGTTGCCAAAGTTTCAAATTTTTCTCCTAGTGGATTAACACATTCTACGGTGGTGATGTCAGATTGAGCAATGTGATTCGTTGCTGTTGTTTCTGCAGTTGTTTCACGAGGGAGCCATGAGCACTTGAATTGTACTGGGAAGCAAGCTGGGTGAATTAAAAGCATAAACAAAATTACAGGCATCACACGACCGAGGAATAAATGTAGAATATACAAAGGAAACACGAATATTCTTGCTTCTCTGGCACTTTCTTCTTGCCAAGATTCTTGAGTAGACTCGTCCATATGTTGACCTGTTTTAGATTCAAATTTCTCAACCTTGGAATTCACAACGCCAACGTAAGCGACAGAGATCGCCAGTATAAGACCAAAATTTATGACCACAAACCTGCTAACTGGCACCGAAGGATGGTGTTTCTTTTCATATTTCATATAACATGTCGTCTCGACATAGTTCTTTGCCACTAAATCTGCTGCGATAGTCTTGTTAGGATTGCATCGAAAATTCGCTTTCTCGTTTAAATCGTATCCAACTCCGATCAAAATCGCAGCACAGAGAAAGATCACTGCCAAAATGATGCGACCGTATTTATTATAAGTTTTAGACGATAAAGGAATAAACGGCTGCCAGGACTCCATCTTAAACGATTGAAATGGTATAACAGGACACAAGGTTTAAAGTTATGTGTATTCTCTTGTATTAACTTGTACTAATGATACCGTATATAATAAGATAACTGTCTAGATACTTGTGCAACCACTCATAACCGGAATTACACCACCTTGACTATGCAAATTTTGAATAGTAAATATCCCCTCCTGCTGGTAACGTAATCATATGCACATGTACTGATGAAAAATCCGCGACCTTTGCCCGTTTCGAACGTCTCAACACACGTATCGCATTCCACGCATAACGTGTTACTATTTTGCTCTATTTCATTCGGAAACGATACCTCGCTTCATTTTCATTATTATAATATTTATTATGATAATAAATTGTATGAATATGTATACAGCTAATTCAAAAAAGGTTTTCCTTTGCAAACCTTTTAAACTCTAAGCCAAACACAAACAATATGAAAAAGAGTTTCATGTATGATGGAGCTTCCATATGGAACTCTCTTCCAAAAAATATAAGAGAAAGTAATTCGCTCTCAAGTTTTAAAAGAAAAATCGCTACCTATAGCTTATAAAGAAAACCACATCATTGTAAATAGCAAACTTTTTGTATATATTTTAATAATTTTATATTCTGCATGTTAATACTTCATTATTTTACTTGTAACAATTTGTTAATGTTTTTTACACGCCCATTGTGGAAACCAGCTTCTGCTGACAATGTTAATAGCGTGGTTAAATAAAGTTTATCATCATCATCATCATCAAGCGTGCAAAGCATGATGGGAGCATCATTCAATCAGTTGAGAAATCATATATGGGGTATGAGAACAATTCATTCCCAAATAGCTGCAATATTCAACTACCAACCTTAAAACGTATGCTCCCATTAAGCTTTGCGCGCTTAGTTTTAAGTGCAAGTTTTAAGGTTTAGAGTTTATGGTTTGCAAGTGACAAATTCGAATATGTAACATTACATAATCTCTGAATAGATAGCAATGCAAATTGTCAAAAAATAGGAACCGGTTAAGAATACGTCATACTACGCAACTACAGGCAGTCGTGGGGTAGTGGCAAAAGTAGCTTCATATTTCTCGCCTCTCGTGCTGTTTGGCAAACCAAATACAAAGCGAAATTTACATTTTGACCTATACTGACTGTATATAAAGAACAGATCGAAAAGAGTTGAAGATTCACCATACATCTTGCTGGCATGAATAACAAACTTCACTAATTCTAAATTGAATTGAAAATTTTTAATATTGACATTCAAATATTTATTGACTATTTACAATATTTATATATAATTATTTATCTTTATTAACAGTTTTGTATATTATCCATTGTGATGTGGTCTCTGGCAAAAGCGTTCCTTTATTTCTGCCAGCTGAACCGTGGCTGCCTTGTAGTCTGTAACATTATCGTCTTTGTCGATTTTGTGCCTATCTTCTGATATTCTGTCCCGAAGCAATGGGATGGAATTTCTCCGATAAGAGTTCTATATTACTAATGCCCTCATGCTTTGGTAACTGATAATTTTAAGATCGATTTGGCATCTAATTTTTTCCTTGTTTCACAGCACGTCCATTTGATGTTTGCGCATTACTTTTTGCTTACTTGAATTCAAGCCAGACTGGTATTCTTGCGTCTTTCTCGTTCTTGTGAAAGCTTGGCATCAGAAATGCTCTTCTCTACCATCTACCGCTTGTTCAAGAGCCGAAGAGCCTTGAAACCCCATGAATAGTCTACATCACTGTCCATCGGCCAATATAACTCTACTCTTCCCCAGTATGTCAGGTCTATGCCGCGCTGATTTCTGATGCGCGCGTAGTCCCGCGAGTTGCGAGTACGCGAAATGACAGACAGTACATTTGTAGGGTTTTTCTCCGGTATGCAATCTCGTATGGTTGCGCAGCGTGGAGGACTGGGAGAAAGACTTCTTACAGTATTTGCATTGAAAAGGTTTTTCCAGTGTGTGGATTCGCATATGCGAGCGAAGGTTGCTGCGAGAGTTGAACCCTCTACGACATATAGTGCATTTTAAACGTCCGTTTTGTTCCGTTGGGAATTCTTTCATTTGACCGACCATTATACTTTCTTCAACTAGAAAAAAGAGCGAATTGATGATGTTAGTTGAAGCAAAAACCTCAAGTATAGGGCGTTGTACACTAGGATTGTTTGCTAGCCATGTTTCCCAAACAAAGCTGGGCAAACTAGAAAACATTGTTTACACATTGTTTCCTGGTCATGTTTCCCAAAGGTGGACAAGCCAGGAAACATTGTTTCCTATAGCTATATTTCCCAAAGGTGGACAAACCAGGAAATATTGTTTACACATTGCTTCCTGGTCATGTTTCCCAAAGGTGGACAAGCCAGGAAACATTGTTTCCTATAGCTATGTTTCCCAAAGGTGGGCAAACCAGGAAACATTGTTTCCTATACCTATGTTTCCCAAAGGTGGGTAAACCAGGAAACGTTGTTTCTTAGCTATGTTTTCCAAAGGTGGACAAACCAGGAAACATTGTTTTTGCAACCAAAAATCGCGCCTGCGTGACAAAATATGCTTCTGAATTCGTTGGCATTAAATTTTGTTTCTGAGGAGTGGCCAAAAGCAAAACATTCAAGGAAGCAAATATTTCAGCATCAATTCCTCTACGTTTTCCCAAGGCTTCAGACTTTCCTGGTTTGCCCAAATTTTGGGAAACCAAAGGGTTATCAAAACACCCTACCTTCAAAATTCCTCCGTCTTCGAGGTCGTTCTATGATTGGTGGAATTCCAGGAATTCCGAGAAACTGAACATAATTTGGTCCATACCACACCAGCAACTCTTGCTCTGGAGGGATATCTTTGATAGCACGGTAATAAATACTGTTCCCGTATTGAAAGATTTCTAAGTTCTGTTCTTGTTCGTTCCTGGCGCAGTTTACAAAGCACATCCAGTTGCGAGGTGTTTCACTTTTGCCATCGATAAAGTGACTCACTTCCCCATCTTCGCTTAGGACCTGGAGATATACAGTTGTGTGATTTATTTTTAAGGATTTTTGTTCGCGGAATCTCGAGTGAAAGAGATGATCCTTACTGGACCTCAAGGGAAAACAGTTTAGAACTGATATAGCTATCCAGTATAAATAAAGTTAGTTTTGTTTAAGTTTCCTCCTGTAGTAACACTGGATCAGTAAGAGATGACCCTTGCTGGATCTCTAAAGAGAACAGTACTGATAGAGCTATCCAGTATAAATAAAGTTAGTTTAGTTTAGGTTTCCTCCTGTAATAACACTGGATCAATAAGAGATGACTCTTGCTTGACCTCTAGGTAGAACAATTCAGGACTAATAAAGCTATCCAGTATAAATAAAGTTAGTTTAGTATTAAGAATCACTTACCTCCCACATAAGGTTGTTATCCAGTTTAAAATCAATCTCATCTTTTCGTACAATATGTCCAGTGAATGGTCCCATGTGAGTCCCCTCTTTAATCCAACAGTTGGTAAAGACACCATGTTTAATACCAGGGACAGAAGAAGACCCAATACAGACTTGTTCAGGCAGAGAGACAAATGTCATATAGGGTAGCGAGTCTTGGTCTTTGTATTTTAATCTTGTGTTTCCCGCTTCTGTTTCAGAGCTGTCCAACAATGGTACGAGATTGGTGGGTGAGAGACGCGAGACTTGGCCGAAGGCTTCACGAGAGACTACGAGAAAGAAGGTAGGATTGTTTTAATTTACTCCCATGATCACCCTGGGTCAGGGGGAAGACTCTAAACACATAACTGGCAAGGAGCGTGACGAAATTTCGTATTTTGACTTCGTTTAAAGAATGGTTTTTTATGAATTGATAACTTAATTAGCGATATGGTCCGTTAGAAAATGGAATGGACGACTTACGCTTTTGAAAAATTTTTAATCTGGGAATAACAAAGAATATTTTCTGAAAGAAGTTATCAAAATTAGAAAAACTGCAAAGTTTGGTTGCGAAATGTTGTAAAATACGGAAAATATAGCCCTGCGAAGTTGGCAAATATGTATACATTTCTATTATGTGCGGAAATTGGTAACTAATTTAGTTACCAATTCACGCACGTAATACAAAAGTATACAAATTTGCCAACTTTGAAGGGCTATATTTTCCGTATTTTACAACATTTCGCAACCAAACTTGGTAATATTACTAATTCTAAGACGCTCTTTCTAGCTGTGGTGATAGATTTCGTTGTTCTTACTTAGATTAAAATTTAGTCTAAAGCGCAAGTCGTCCATTAGCTGGGGGAAATGGTATTAAAACTGTTGACGACGTTCATAGAAGTTCTTGCTCCAAACAGCTCACTGAGATTGGGCCCTTACATCTGCTATTCAAATTCCGCAATTTATTATTGAAAATATATTGTTTATAGATGATGACAAAGTATAATAACCATAAACAATTATTTGTTGCCGTATCGGGCGTGAAAATCTCGAAAACAAGCACGTGATTAACAAATGATTTTTCTTTGTTTTCCACAATCTTTAAACAAAATTTCATTAAATCATTTCGAAAGCTTATCTCGTCTAAAGACAGGTGAAATATATATAACTTAATCATCATTTGTTAATTGAGGATATCATGCATGTCGACTCACACGTAGAATGTTTTTATATGTTAGACATCACAGTTCACTTACATCAGTATTCGATTAACGATATTTCGTTCTGCTAAGTGAATTACAAGCAATAAAATCAATATTTTTCTAGGGAAACAAAACGTGCTAACATATTTTAATTTTAATATTTTAACCAAAATCTGTTGTCGGTATGCAGGGTCCAACGTATATTTTGTTGTACTGCGCAGAAACTGAGCTGAATCCCCTTTCATGATTGGTTTATTTGATTTTGTGAGCACAACTAAACATGAGTTTTCGTTTATGCATTTGTTCTTTGCCATATTTATAAAAGTTCTCTTCACATACGTTATTTTTTTGAAAAGGAACGATCGATTTCAATCTATAGTATTATTTCTATTTGTTCTTTCGTTCTTCACTCATTTAGCGGTCAGTTGCTTCAATAAAATTTCACTCAACACAGAAACTAACACTAATGGTGAAGTAACATTTACACATATGTGAAGTTAAACACGCTATATACCTTGTGTATAAACAAATAACATTGTTATAAAGAGACAAAGACACTTTAAACAAAGAAATCAGAAGGAAACAATCTCCTTGTGCATATTTTATAAATCAAAAATATTTCTTAGTTATTTTAATACGTCTTTCATTGTATCTTAGTGTAAAATTTTGAACACATTAATAAAGTATTTCAGAGTGAGTTTATAGAACGCAAAACATTCCCATTCAAATTGAATGAATTCGTACTACGTTCATACCGGGCACATTCATGAGGTCGGACGAATTCAAGCATACCTAATAACTGTATACGAATTCCCTTGTGAACCAGTTGAATCAGGAGAATTTGTGTATACGACTTTAAATTCATCCGTTCTCGTGTGATACATACTTAAAAACACACAAGTTGTTTCAGATCTGCAAACAAGTTGCAACAAGGTTGTTGTGAAGCCGATATCAGGATGTGTTCGCACTGCTTGTTCCCAGTTGTTGTGACAAGTCTGGAACAAGTTGTTATCACTTTGTTACAAAGTTGATGACGGTAACAGACTTGCTATACAAGTTGTTCCAACAAGACTAATACAGGCTGTTCATAACAAGTTATAGACGAGCTTGTTGTCAACAGATATCAGACTTGCTGGAACAACTTGTTGCGAGTCTGTTCATGGCCTCATCAACCTTGATATACAAGATGATAACAACTTGTTCCAGACTTGTCAACAACTGGGAACAAGCAGTGGGGACACGTCTTGTTGACAAGCTGTGAGATTTTTCCGTGTGTACTATATACATATAATCTAAAACCGATTTTTTCTGAACAAAAACGTATTAAAGCGCGCTATGAATAATTATTTTGGAGATATGCATAAAAATGGGCGCAAATTTGAGAAACATGAATATAAAGAAATGTCGATCCTTAACTGCGTGCGTTTGCGACATACATTATACATTCTTTTTACTTTTTGCTAAGTCCTATCACCTGCTTCGAGTCGAAACAAGAGTGATTTGGTGAATAACTGACCGGATTTAAGATTTGATTAAGAGATAGCAACGCCTGCGTAAAATCGTTAGTATATATAGGCATTAAACGTTTTGTTATCTGCAACTACTCCTTTAGCGGATTTGGGAAAGTTGTTTTTATATAATATGTGTAGCAGCATCTTTCTTTTGGCTATTATTCGTTTAAAGGCTGTTTATAATAAGCTGCCGTGGTTTGTGTCTGAACTCCCGGAAAAGCATGCATATGATGTTTTTAATCTTCTTCAGGTACTACAGCAGACACAAACCATGGATGTATACCAGTTTATTACAGGACACTCCCCTAGAAAAACAGTGCGCCCACACGTTTGGGTATAGTAAACGTATAGAAAAAAATTTGTAACGTTTCGAGCCAAAGTTCCTTCGGCACTAGGAAGTAGCTAACTTTCCTGCTAGCTAACTAACTCATGAAGGGTCTGCGTTCAAAAGGCCGCAATGCGTTTAGTTTAATTCAGGGAGATGCTACCTTCTCTCTCTCGTCTGTAGAGGCTTTTGAGTCTTTCCGTTAAGGTGGGGTGATAGAAAACGCAATATGGCGCAACTTACTAGAACGCAATTTCGAGCCGACGGATTCGTTTCTTAAAAGCCATTGCTTCACAGAACAGTTCAGGACTTGAAACCATTCTAAAAACATTGCCGATTAAACATGCCATCCTTTCCTGTTTAGTATGTGGCTCTTGGAACACTAACCATTCAATCTGATAAATGTCACCGTTGTTTTCGCGTAAATTATTATTTTACTCCTATTCACGACCATGAACCAATTTTATATAAAGCGTAGACTAGCGTGTACTAGCGCGCAAATTGTAAAATAATACAACACCCTACAAATAAGCTAACTGATAGAAAGAATACTTTGACATCGTGTTAAACACGACTAAGTTACAATTAAACAGCGGACTTACTCTTTTCAGATTGGTAAATATCTTTGTTGCGAAAAACTGCGTCAGCTTTGAACGTTAACTCCCGGTCATTTCCAAACACATTGCACCATTTTCCATAGAGGACGCTGCGTAGAATATCTTGGCTAATGTGAAGGGTTTTGCCATTTTCCTCCGAATACCAAGACATAGTTTTATTTGAAATTATTTCAGATTACACGAAAACACAGCGCGTAATACTTAGAGCGCTGTATATAAGCACTGTGTGGCAAGCTTGTAACTTTGCGCTTAATTTGTTCGTTTGTTTTTGCGCTCCGTTTTATACGCGTGTTTGACGCGCGGCGCGAAGATTCTTTTGACAACGTTAAATAAGTATAGTGAGAAAACTAAACAGTGTTTTGTATTTAATCACATACATCAAGCTTTATTTTATACATTGCTTATTCAACGCTTTATAATGAAGGTCCTGGCACCTGCGCTGCTCTGCATTGCGCATGACTGATAGTTATGCAGCTAGGGAGAATTTGTGATTTGGTCGAATATCATACGATGGCTGAATGATAGGGCTACATCTATAATGTGGATAGTGAATCTTCCAACCTATGTAAAATGCCTTAAAGCTTCCAAACTATAGATATATGGTCCTCACAATAAATAGAGGAAAATTTGAACTTTTATATACTAAGGATTAATGTGGGTTTAACATACGAAACAAGTACAATTTTACAAAGCTTGAAACATCACTATAGTATGGTTTATTATTGTAGTTTATAGTGAGTTTTATAAAACGTAAGTTCAGCATGGCTGACGACACTGAAATATTATTCTAAAATGGCCAAAAATATATGGTGAACTTATGAATGTAATTTTAATGAATATCTCTAAAGGTGCTATAAATAATTTTATTTTTACTTTTTAACACCTCATAAATAGCACGACTTAATGCGCATTCGTTATACTGTAAATTTAGAGTAATTCTATTCAATCAAATTTATATAATGTAGTTTTGAAATTTTGCGTAGGCATATAATGACCAGCGTAGGTAGTGATAATAACACGAGAAAGCGTGGATTGAGAGCGATTCAATTTAAATTTGATTTCGATGTCATCCAGCCGCCTGCGATTAAAGCTGGAGTAATACGAGCAACAAAATTGCTGCAACTTGCAACAAAATCTGATTTCAACGCATGTTAAGTAGAAATGTCGACACATGTTGCCTTGTGATTTGTAATTTATGTGTAAACATTTTCAATTAACATGCGTTGAAATCAGATTTTGTTGCAAGTTGCAGCAATTTTGTTGCTCGTGTAACTCCACCTTAAGGGGTCCTAAAAATTCGCAGTCTGATCGATACTTAAATTCTCCCAACTCTCTAACATTATTAATTCGCCCTATCATTGACGTTTCCCGTAGATTTTCTCCGCACATAATCTCTGATCTCTAGTTATCGCATAGGCCTATATCCCAGTGGGCAAAAGTGTCCGAAAAATTTAATATACAGCATACATACTTTATTAATGCTTAAAAAAATCACTGAAACACATAGTTATAACGCGTTGCTTAATTATACATATATATCCATATCGGAGGCACGATTCCGTAAACAAAACTTTCGGGGCAAAACTGCAAATGAAGATTTAATTATATGGTTTTCAAGTAAAAATGTCCAGTGCCTAAATCAATTACACTTTATTAGGCGTTCATCCTTAATTAGAGGTGTAAGACACGCATGCGGGGTTTCCTCTGCTCTCCCGCAGAGTTGCAATGATTTTTATCCAAATTTCATTATGTTCTGAACAAATCTAGTAATTTTAAAATCGTATTAGAGAGTTGATAAACTACAGTGGAGTACGTTGGTATAGTGTCGGTTGTTGAAAAGGATTTCATAGTTGTTTAATTTCATTATATGACATTAACACATGTGTCATATAAATTCTTAAACTGTGCAAAAAGCCACAAAATTATTATTTTATCTCGCTTCGTGTAAATGAGACTTTAGGATTTCGTGTTCACTTGCTTATGCATGACGTTTAGTATACTAGACATATAAGCTGTGCTGTTTTTTGTCTGATACTGGAGTAGTGTAGGTAGTATTCTTCAATAACCTGTCGTGGTTTGTTTCTGAACTACCTGAAAAGATATCTCAAACGTAGTGGTCCAGTTTTGGCAGTATTCCTCAATAAGCTGCCGTGGTTTGTTTCTGAACTACCTGAAAAAGATATCTCAAACGTGGAGGTCCAGTGTGTAGGTAGTATTCTACAATAAACTGTCATGGTTTGTGTCTGAACTATACCTGAAGAAGATATCTCAAACGTGGTGGTCCAGTGTAGGTAGTATTTTATAATAAGCTGCCATGGTTTGTGTCTGAACTACCTGAAAAAGATATCTCAAACGTGGAGGTCCAGTGTAGATAGTATTTTATTTAGAAACAAATGCAAGGAATATGTAAGTACAAATTCAAATAAGTATATCTCTTATATAACTTTAAGATTAGGGAATGTTCATTGACATATATATTGATGAAAATCATTTAACACGGGTTTTCATAAATTTTTAAACAGTGGAGCAAAAACCCACATAAAGAGTAAAGCATAACTAATAATATTTGTTCATTAACTCTAACGCGAAATAAAATGGAACGTCTTTATCTTAACATTTATGTAAATTTAAGACGACTCGCGTTCGGGTTTGGTTATTAAATTAAACTATAGGACTCATCGTTTATTCGTAGCTTCCTTTCTCATTAAGCAATGATAAAAGAGAATTTAATTCGCATATTAAGCATAAACTAGCTCCTTTCAATAAGCAAAAACAATTCAGCTGAAAGTTCAAAGAAGTGGAAAACGATAGGGAAGCGACTCGAATTTTGATTTAAAAAATACTTTATACTTTCATGTTTTATTAAGAAGAAGATTTTACCTTTAATAGTCGTTTATAAACATGCACAGTTTTCCTGACAAGTTAATTTTTACTTGACAACTCGTGGCTGTGCTTTATATTCGTTTGGGGCAACAAATGTTCCTGGCTTGGTAAATAATAGTATATAGTTACTGTCTGATAAAAGAACTTTAATATGTCTGCCTTTGGCGGAAGAGATGAATCGCAATGGACAACCTATACTGTCACCAACGTTTGAAATTGTAAAGGGAAAATTTGTAAATCAGATTCTGTAGAGGCCAGCAGTAAACTCGTCAAGGCCCACTGGAAATTTTCTTTGTATATATACCAATGTTTCTCAGCATTTCTAAACTGTTCTCCATGCTGTAGCCTGCGTTAACAAAACAACTGAACGAACTCTTTTATATTAACGAATCAGTTTAGATATTCAGCTTTCTTCTCTGAAATTTAGGCCCTCTGGCTCTAGATTTTATTCCTTGAATATAATTTCGCAAGCCACAATGCGCTGTACGTATAGAATTGCATGTAAGGCCTGGTAACGGAAGCGAGGCATTAAACATAAATTACTAAATGCATTCTTATTTACGGCAGTTAAAACGTTTCCGTTGAATACAAACTATTAAATTATGAAAGATTCTAACACTGTTAATGATTTTAACGTGTTCTCTCAGTGTGAATGCAATCAACAATACCTTGTAAAGCGCGCTAACTAGAAGAATAATAAAGCTTTCATTTAGAGCACGCGTGCCGACACGGGCTACACTCTGCAGGTGTCTGGACCGCGACCATTGTGGTCAGGAAATTTACTAGTTTTAAATCTCCCACTTTGCCCTTCATTCTTTAGTTCAAATAACTGATTTAATTACTGGAAACAGAGAGCTATGTCTTCTAGGGAGTGTGCATAACTATATCTGGAAATCGCACGAAACTGAATATGGTTTTGTGCAAAAGTAAAAGGAAACTATTTGTGTTTCATTTCATCCAATGCCAATGGAAAGACATGGACTGCACTTCATCAATTTTTGTTAACTGAAAGTTTTACTCAATAAATACGACATAGACAGTTTTATACTTCGCAATGCGTGTAGGCGGTATAGTAGCTAATATATATGTAGTTATATATAACTGAGGAATAAAAGAATTAAAGAATATCACTGATATATATACTATAGACAATTTAAACCGAAACATTCCAGTTTTTCATGCAGAATCATACAAGTATAACAAATTAGCAGACTTCGATGTTCAAATTGTGACATTCTGCTAGTAATATCTAATGAAACTCTAACCAGTTTCGTAGACAATACTTTAAGTTTCTTTGATTTTAATTTTAGAAAGCGAACTCTTTGACTGTATTGAAGTTTTTTGTTGCCTGACGATAAAAAAGAGTGGGGAAAACAATTTGACTGACCACAAATTTTACTAATAAGTCTATTGCATTATTGAATCGTGTAAAAAATACGGAAAAAAACTTTTAAATTCAGGGCTTACATAGGGATATGAATAAGCAACATTCGCTATAGTATATACCTTTGTTTCACGTTCATGAATGTGAACATCGATCTGAAATAAGCGTGTGAAAATGCAAAGTAAAACGACAGCTAACAAGCACTGGGAATAAACACCTGAGCCCAATATGAATTATTGACAAGAAGAAGACAGCTCGGATAGGCATCTTTAATCGGTTAAATCATTTTTAAAACCAAACGCGGTTTTAGTTTCTTCCCGAGGTGTTTAAAATCATTAAAATTAAACGCAACCACACTGTTAATATTATAGAAGAGGGTCTTTATTGTTGAAAGTTGGAAAGGTTTTATGATTTTGGCGTATAGTAAAAGCAGAAGTGTACGAAATTGGCCTTAAAGCCCTTATATTGGCAATAACTGTAGAGTTTACTCAAATCGTTTGTTTTAGTTCAAAGAAATTATTTAAAGCTGTCTGTTAATTACACAAATGAAATTTCCTGTGCCGAATATTAACATAAACCTTATAAATCGTACGCTTCAAATGAAATTGTGCTAAACTGACAGTATTGGGATATAGGATTACTGTAAGAGAATATATATCAGAGAGATGGGCCAGTTTGAAAGCGCAGAGTCTGTATGACATCTTTAGCTAAATTAGAAACTTCTAGCCAAATAAAACGTCGACGTCTTAATACATTTGATTGCGTCGCGTTCGTTTAATTATTAAATGAAAAATGTATAAATTACGCACGTTGTTTATTTGCGTAAAAGCGTGAAAAAATAAATATTTTAACATCGCAGGAAGACAGATATATTCATAAAATCATTAGCAGTTATCTTTCGCGTCATTATAAGCGAAACTAATCACTATTGATTCGAAATATAATAATCAACACTGATTATACGATTCGAAACAGTGGGTGTAAAATATAGCGGTATAAACTTTCGAAATTAAGAAACTGATAACACTACAGGAGGGTTTTAATATTGCGATTGAAATCTCGTTTTTGCTTGGTGTGCCAGTGACCTCTTTATATGACTGGAGTTATGTCTTTGATAAATTTTTGAAAGAAAGCAATGGACCTATTTCCCTAATGAACAAAATTTTGATCCAGACAAGTCTAGACAAAAATTTCATCACAGCTTGAAAGAGCATCACAAAATCAGTAATATTTCGAAGTTTCGTTGCGAAATGTTGTAAAGTGCGGATAATATAGCCCTGCGAAGTTTGCCGTTTTTCAGTCATTTTGTATTACGCGCGGGAAATTGATACCTTTTTTCAGAAAGCGGTATCAATTTCCCGTGCGTAATCTGAAAATGACTGAAAAACGGCAAACTTCGCAGGAAACTTTCAGCACACTCACTATATACATGACTCATGACATCTAGCCGCAACCAATGAACGAAAGTTAATGAAGTACCGCGTTGGTGAAGCTATATAGAAGTGTTTCTGTTCGTGTTACAAATATGAATATTGAATTGGATACGTCATTAATTCGCATTCAGATCTGAATTTATTCACCAAACAACTGACATATTCCCTCATGGCTGCTGAATTAAATATCTAATTAAAAAGTTAACAACAACTCCCTTGAAAAGTCTACTAATTTGTTACTTGTATGATTCTGCAGTAAAAGCTGGACCGTTTCATCAGTATTTCATCATCAGTATTAAGTTCCCTATATATAATATATTTACAAATGTTATGAAAAATGAAACAAGAAACTCAATTTCTTACAATTGAGTAAAAATATTCCTAAACATTTTTATTAAATATTTCATCAACACTCAGTTCGCGTTCTGGATCGTCCTCATAATTCATCAGTCGTTTAGGCATACGTAAATATCTCGCCTTCCTTGCCTCCTGTAGCAATTCTTCTAATGGGGGCAGCAAGTACACCGTTCGTTTACGTCCATCTGGTGGTACGTACATGTACGACTCGATCTCCTCGTTAGACGTGGCCTCTTGCTCATTTTGCGTGCTTGAATCAGTCTCGTTCTCGCTTATTCCGTGTTCACCTATCAATTGTCCGTTCTCGCGTAGTAAGCGTTTTCGTGCTAGATTACGTGCTTCGTGTACATATAGTTCGCATGATTTTGTGTCTTGTGTTGCACTCTTCGTGATGCGTGGTAACGTTTCGTGCTTGTCAGACCGTGTTTCGTTCTCACTCACCCGTCTTTCGTGCCCGTCCGGTTTTTCGTGTTCATAAATTCTCGTTTTCTGTCCAACAAGTTGCGTTTCTCGACCGACAGATCTTCCTGCGTGCCCACTTATTCCGTGCTCGTCAAAGCGAACACCGTGTTTTCCAGACGTCACATCGTGCTGAGTATAAATATCGCGTGTTTTCGTGATTCTCGGCTGTTTTTCATTACGTGCCAAATTAAACAAATCAGTACCAGCTGTTTTGTAATTTTCTACGGAAATTACTTGTGATGAATTTTCCGGATGAAATTGAACTCTTCTGCCCCCTTCGTCTCGATTGAATTTCCTTCTTGAATTAGACTTTGATTTCTTTTGAAACAATGTAAACTTCGTTCGTTTACGTTTTGTACCAATACTGGAATCATTCGCCTGGCCGTTCATCTCGTGAGTAGAATTCCTGACATCGTAGTTTCCGATTTCACGAATACCTCTGAGATCACCTTGTAATTTCTTCATTTCTTGGTTGATTTCGTTCTCAACATGATCATGGTTTTCCCGAAACTGTTCATGTTGCTGTTTTAACCGATTCGTGGCAGTTCGGTTGAATCGTTTCGCTAGATTTTCACGCCTTTCTAAGTCATCTGTGGTTATACTTAATTTGCTGACTCGCTTTTCCATCATATGAAAGGTTGCGTAATATAAATGTTTTGATTGAAATAGTACCCTTTGGTACACGGGAATATATACGGGTTATTGACCTGACATAGTATCCTTCGAGTCAAGCAGTCGGCATTTCATAAGATGACAAATGTTAGTTTGACATTTCTCAAATTAAACAGAAATCCTTTTTAATCCGTTTCTAAGAAACTAATGTCTCCCAATTTAGTACAATTTATAATAATCCTGTCACCTTGTATGGTCTTGTATGCTTCACAATCTTCGACACTTTCGTTTATTTACGGTCTTTCAAAAATACCCAATACCGCTTTTTGTTCCTCGCAGAGTAGCCTGTGATTAATACGTTTTCACCTGTTTCAAACTGTATTTAGCCTTGGCTGTCTTCCAAATCAGTTGGTCGTCTATGCAAGCAATAAGGTCTGTCTAGCTATGTCACTATTCCATTTCATAAGAGCACAGCATCAGAATTCCAGTTTAATTTCAAAACCATTTGTTGATAATGTATATAACCACTTTACAGTCCTAAACTAATCTAAACTGAATAATGTCGCTAGCTTTGCCGGCCTTTTGTAAACCAGTCTGTCTTCTTTAAATCTGTACAGCTATTCCATTTTACAATTCATATAAACAATACAGCATCAGAATTCCAGTTCATTTGACCATTTACCGGTAGTATGTCTAGTATACCAACTTCGTTTGAGTTGAAAATCAATCTACGACGCCAGAAGCCGAGTTAGCTTTTCTTTTAATAAGTCAGTCTCGCTTCTATACAAACAATGTCTGTCCAGCTATTCCATCTTCATTGTCATTTTCATAACAATACAGTATCATAGACATTGAGTTTAACCATTCAACGATAGTCGCTGGGTATATATAGCCAGCCACTTTACTCTTGAGGCTGTTGAGTCCAAAATTAATTTAACTTGGATTAAACAAGCTTGCAGCTGCTCTTTTCAACAAACGTAGAATTCAGTAACTGATTTGCAAACATCAGTACTTTATTAATATTTTATGTGGGATTATCCGGTCATAGGGTGGGCTCTGAAGCAAAACAATGTATCAAGTGCAATTGTCAGATATAATCAAATCAATGTGACAGAGTCGTTAGAGCGTCTCGACCCCTGTAGAGTTGTCTGATTTCATGTAGCGACTGGATTCTTGCAGTTGTCTGTCAGCTCAATCCACGACTCCGCATGTACGAATAGCAAGAACTATAAGGATTTTCTCTGGGTTTTTCTGGTTTCCGCCTGTAATAACACTGGGTCAATAAGAGAAGGCCATTATCGGACCTTTAAGTCCAATGATAGAGTTGATGGCTTTCTAAGGAATCTAAGGGCGCCCCTGGCAGACAGCCAGACACCGTATGACTCATATCTGATCATGAAGCACAGCTATGAAGGAAGGGTCAGTTTGGGATTTATCCCAACCCACCCTGTCAACATTCCCTGTGGAAGGAAAACGGAGTACCCAGAGAAAACCCACGACTTTGGACAGAGCGTTGACCGACTCTTTTCACATTCCACAATCTCAGAGATGAAAGCGTGACTTGTCGTACCATCCTGCAACTAGCCACCTTAATTAACAAACACGACCGACATTTAGGCAATCTAGTCTGTGTTATGTCACTATGGACCGGTTTGTTTTAACAAAGTCTCTGATGCATGTGAAAAAGTAAACAATTTAATGAATTCTGACGCTGCTATCCTTTAGGCCTAATTACTTTTTCGATTGTCGAATGGTATTTAATTAAAGTATTTTACTAAGAGAGCGTGTTTAGTACAGATAAGTTGAGTGATACGATTAGTAGAGCAAATATTGTGTAAAAACAATAGTCTTGGCCTTTCCTCGCTGTCAGGGCAACGTTATTGCAGGGAGTGAGATGTACATCCGTTGCGCAATGCCAAAATTGCTCAAGAATTAGGATTTCGGTGACGGAGTTGTTACATATGATTTAGAAAAGATGAAGTTTCACTGTCACAGAATCGTACGATATCAATTTACATCAACTTAAGGCCGATTTCACACTACACAACTTTTGCCTAAAACTGTCGCATGCAACCCTGCTTACAACTTGAACTGTACTGTGTAAATCAAGCACACAACTCATCTACAACGCGTATAGGCGAGCAGGTTGCAAGCGACAGTTTTAGGCAAGAGTTGTGTAGTGTAAATCAGCCTTGATACGTGGCAACAGAAATTTAAAATGAACAATTTTGACTAACTTTTGTACAGCTCATTAGTTTTAGTACTGCCAATTGTGAGTTAAAATGTCAATAATACTGCTCAAATCAAAACAGTTTGAAGTACAACTTGTGAATTCGTTGAGCAAGATCTTCCATTTTCCCGTCAGTTCTGTACGTATTTATTCGCACGGCGCACATGGTGTAGTACCACTCTCATCTCTGTCAATTAATGCGCTTTTGCAAAGGAGTCTTAACGTTTTTATCATATTCTAGATATCAAATCCCTTCATTGTTTTTTTCTTGCGCCATTCTCCAGGCCAAGTCGTTGTCATAGTTGCTCGAGTGTCTGCTTGGTTATTTGCGCCAGCTCGTCCTTGACTTCAGGTTTTAATAGATCTTTCTGTTTGATAAAGAGAGAAATTGCTGAAGGATGAGACAAGGAATGAAGAGATCAGAAGAAGTAGACATTTCAGAGAAGGTGAGGGAAGCAAGGTTGAAATGGACACGTAATAAGAAGAGATGGAGGAGAACTGGTCAGAGACACTATGGAATGAAGCGATCAGAAGATGTGGGGTGGTAGACATTGCAGAGAAGGTGAGGGAAGCAAGGTTGAAATGGACACGTAATAAGAAGAGATGGAGGAAACGGCTGGTCAGAGACATCATGGAATGAGGTGATCAGAAGATGTGGGGTGGTAGACATTGTAGAGAAGGTGAGGGAAGCAAGGTTGAGATGTTATGGACACGAAATAAGAAGAGATGAAGGAGAACTGGTCAGACATGGAATGAAGAGATTAGAAGATGATGTGGAGTGGTAGACATTGCAGATAAGATGAGGAAAGCAAGGTTGAGATGGTATGGACACGTAATAAGAAGAGATGAAGGAGAACTGGTCAGAGACACTATGGAATGAAGAGATCAGAAGATG